TGTGTGATTGAGTGAAATACTTTATCTGGTGAGGAATGATTCCAAGAGCAAATGAATACATCTATGCTTAGTTAATTGATCATTCATGAGAATAGAATCTGTTGGATATTATGTGATTATGTGAACACCATGATGTGTTATTTTGAATCAAGGCATGTGTGCATCTTGACTGAATTCTTTTTGATGAGTTGATTTAAGTAATCACTTGTCATGAAAGAAAGTGTTATAGAATGTGTAAAACCATTGTATTGATTGGTGGAAGACTGAGTTACATCTTGTTTGCTTGAGGACAAGCAAAGTTCTAAGTTTGGGGTTGTGATAACGGTTGAAAAACCATTATTTTTATACTTAATTTTGACATTAAAAACACCCTTTATAACTTAGAAACTAGCTTGAAATCATGCTTTTGCTTAAGTTGTGGAAATAAGAGAGTTGGATGGGCTTTATGCTTGTTTTTCCTTGTTTTGATAGGAATTAAGATGAATTGGATGAAGAAGTTGAAGTAGCAAGGAGTTGGATCAGGAAAGGAAGGAAAATTGCACAAAAGAAGAATCGCAACCACTGCTTAGCGCCATTTTCACCATTGAGCGCCAAGCTTGCTGTTGAGTTCTCTGTCTGACGCCTAAGCGCCATCGTTGAGGGCTAATCCAAGTATTGCAGTCACCGCTGAGCGGCATTTCTACCGCTGAGCGCCAGAGTCTGCTGTTGAGTTCACTGTTTCACACCTGGGCGCCATTGTTGAGCCNCTAAGTTTGGGGTTGTGATAACGGTTGAAAAACCATTATTTTTATACTTAATTTTGACATTAAAAACACCCTTTATAACTTAGAAACTAGCTTGAAATCATGCTTTTGCTTAAGTTGTGGAAATAAGAGAGTTGGATGGGCTTTATGCTTGTTTTTCCTTGTTTTGATAGGAATTAAGATGAATTGGATGAAGAAGTTGAAGTAGCAAGGAGTTGGATCAGGAAAGGAAGGAAAATTGCACAAAAGAAGAATCGCAACCACTGCTTAGCGCCATTTTCACCATTGAGCGCCAAGCTTGCTGTTGAGTTCTCTGTCTGACGCCTAAGCGCCATCGTTGAGGGCTAATCCAAGTATTGCAGTCACCGCTGAGCGGCATTTCTACCGCTGAGCGCCAGAGTCTGCTGTTGAGTTCACTGTTTCACACCTGGGCGCCATTGTTGAGCCTCATTCTGAGTGCCGCACCTACTGCTGAGCGCAATTTCCAACGCTGAGCACTGTCGACTTGGGCCTGGGCTATATTTCTATTATTTTTATAAACTATATAAGGGTTTAGTTGACCTAGGGCTCATATCTTTGGACAGAAAGAGGCAAAATTACACTCTTTTCACCCATCGGAGGCGAATTTTGGATGCAGAAGCTCCGATCTTCAACTTTTAGGGTTCTATCTTTCATTCATTTCATTATTTTCATCTAGTTTCACCATGTCTATGGTGAACTAAACCTCCATTGTTGTTAGGGAAACGATGTAATCCTTTGAAATTCTCATGTATTGAATTGATTCTTATTATAAAATGCTTTACTTCATTAATTGTTAGGGTTTTTCCTCTTTACTCTATGCATGCTTTGTTTAACTTATTCAATTGCATGATTATTGATTTTGTCACTATGGACACATATGAGAAAATCTAGAACTGGGGAAATTCTCCTAAAAGCAATATTACCTAGTTATAGGAATATGTTGGTTGGTTGCCTTTAAGCTTCTTTGTGAATGTAATGCATGATTAATTGCTAGGGAGACAAGACATTGTGAACTAGTAATTAGGAGTAGGTTTTCTTCACCGTGACATCGGGTTTAAGGTAAATTAGAAAGTGGCATTAACATTAATGAAGAAGATGAATTCATAAATACATGAGAGTGGATAGGATAATTCGGAAACCCCAACAACATAATCATTCATTATTTTATATCAATCACCTTTGCATCTTTCAATCCAATTGATCAAACTTGCATGCATATTTATTTTTCATAATACAAACACAATGATGTCATTTACAAGTCCTAATTAATCAAGAAATCATATGAATGTTTAGGTCGTGAGTCTCTAGGGAAACGATACTTGGTCTTACCAATTATTATTACTTGATACGATTCGGTACACTTGCCGAAGTGTTAACAAGTTTTTGGCGCCGTTGCCGGGGACTCGTGGTTTAACTATTCTATTTGTGTGATTATTGATTAGCTTTGACATGATTTTTATCTTTTTATCTTTTTATTTATCTTTTTATCTTTTTTATCTTTTTTACCTTTTTGTGCTAACAATTGTTTCTAGGGTTTTGTTTTCTTGTGTATGCAGGATACAATTCGTACTAGGAGCAAGAAAATTTCGGAACCTCTTTTCGGAACCTCTTCTTGAAGGATTGGACGAGAGTATAAGGAGGAGGAGAATTCGAAGAAATGAGTTATTCTCAGGTTGAGGGATTGGAAGGTTTTTAGTGGTAGAATAAAGAAAAAAAGGAAGAAAAGATGGGGTTGTGAAAATATATATATATATATATATATATATATATATATATATATGTGTGTGTGTGTGTGTGTGTGTGTGTCTTAGTGTATAGGAGGGATATGTTTGCTTTGTAGAAGAATCAAGATGGGGATGCGAAGGTGTTGTGAGGTGAATAGAAGGTGGGATAGTATAGAGAGGTTCGAATGGTGGGTTCTTGGGTAAGCAAATATTAAATGTTAGAATGTAAAATGGGATGTGGGTATAAAGGAATTTGGTGATGGGTTTAACAGGAAAGTTGGTGTAAACTGTTATGGGTGTGACGAGAGTAGCTTATGGAGTGAGTGTTTGATGGGTTGGCTTTTTGGTTAGTATTCAAGAAGAGAAGAAGTGTACTGATAAGTGAGTTGTGTGGTTGAATGGGTAGGGAATAAATAAGAAGAAATAATAAGAATAATTGAATAAGTATGCATGAGAAGTTTGTGTATAGGTTATTGAAAGAGAAAGAGGAAGAGAAAGGTTGGTTTGAGATAGTTTACACTTGTTGGGGTATAGGAGAACGTTGGAGGTGAAAGGAAAATGAAGTAAGGGAAGGTCTGGTGTGGATGTTCTTAGTAGGAGAAGAGAGAAAGTAATGGCAGGAGTTTCTTCTTGTTTAGAGTGAAGGAGTGAAGGACAAGGTGGGTGTTAGGAACTAAAGAAAGAAAGATACATTGGTTATTGGTTCTGCGAATATGGAAAGTTAAAGAGTGAATATTGTAGTTTCATGTAGAACAAAAATATAAAAGTTTGGTGGAAGTTAGCAAAAGCGGAGAGTTTGAGATATTAGAGAGGTTGCACGAAGGGGGCATTGCATGGATGTGTGTGTCCTACTACTTGACATATGAAGAAGAGGTGAGAAGGTTGGTTTTAATGAGATGAAAATAGAAGAAGAAAGGGAGAGAATGTGTGAAGTTAGTGTGGAAGTGGAGAATGAAAAAGGTAGCATGTAGGGACACATGGGGGAAAGGGAGTTACATGTTAGGATCCAGCTTTTGGGAGAGGGAGAGAGAGAGAGCCCTGGTGCTGAGAAAATAATGTTGGATGGGTTGTTGAAGGTGAAGGAGAGAAGGTGGGACGAACCATTGTAGATTGGAAAATGTTTTTTTACAACTTTTTTGACAATTTTTTTACAATTGCTTACGTGGTAGTTAGTGATTGGTCCGTTTCAAATATACAGACCAATAAAATAGTGACACATAGTCTATTTTCAAAAAGTTGTTAAAAAAAGTTGTTAACATATCATGGTCCTTGTAGAATGTGGTAGTTGGTGTGTGTGGTTGGCCGAGAGATGTGGGGGTGAATGTGATGATGATGGTTTTATCATGAGCAGAGAGTACGTAGGTGTTGCTACGTGAGTGTGGGGGAAGAGTTAGGAAAATATCTTTTCAACAACTTTTTTACAACAACCTATGTGATAGCTTGTGATCGGTCCATTTTAAATATACGGACCAATGAAAAACGACACATAATCTGTTATAAAAAAATTGTTAAAAAAATTGTTAAAATATCATGGTCCGAAGAGTTATTGTTGCATGGGTCCCTCGGTGTGAATAAAGTGTTGAGAGAAGAGCTTTAGAGTGGGCACGAGATTTTGAGAAAGAAAGAATAATTTCAAGTGTGATATGATAGAAAAAGAGAGAGGTTCTTGGAAGGTTTTCTTTTCATATGTTTTAATTTTATTTATACTTTGAGTAAGGTGAGGATCTGGTTTTGATGGCACTAATTGATGTGGCTTTAACCTTGAGGAGAAAATTGAGTTCTCTGTTTAGGAAACTCACGGTCAGGGGAGTAATAAAGAAGGAATTTGTACCAGTAGGGACTGGACGTCTACATGATGCCAAGTAGGGACCGGACGTCTACGTGACCCTTGTGTACTAGTAGGGACCGGAGGCCAAGTAGGGACCAGACGTCTACGTGACGCCAAGTAGGGACCGGACGTCTACGTGACCAAACACGCGGATCTGTTGCCATCGAAGGGTAGAGGCACCAAACTGGACGCCCGTACGTGGATCGGACGCCAAGTAGTGACCGGACGTCTACGCAACCAAATACGCGATTTTGTTACCATCGAAGGATAGAGGCTTCAAACCGGACGCCCATACGTCCGGGATTGTGAGATTTACCTCATCACCCGGCCACACTATAAAGGCCGGACACGCCGTTTGTTACACATGACGCCCATAAAGGCTGGCCGATCCAAGAGTCGAACTTAGGAGGCCGGCCGGTCGTACCGCTAATTAGTCAGGTTTAAGGTAAGTTGAGCTTAAAAGCTATTGGGCTGAATTTTGGCCGTGGTTAATTTTTCACTAATCCCAAGCCCATAGCGAAAACTATAAATACAGATCCATGGTAAGTGGTAGACAGGTAGTATTTACTGCACATTTATTACTGTTCTATTGAAAAACGCCAATTGCTCTCAACTGACTTTGGCATCGGAGAATCTTTCGCATGTCTCCCACCCGCGGATTGAAGAAGAAATTGAGGAACGAGTATGGAGGACCGGATATACGAAGGACGAGTGGAGGAGGACGTGGAGATCGGACAACACAACCTTACACATCCGAAACATTTGGCGCCCACCGTGGGGCCGTGTAGTTCTATAAACCCAATGGTGACCACGAGAAATATGAGCATGGATGACCCGGTTGAGCTGATCAGAGTTCTACAGCAGAAGATGGACGAGATGCAACAACGTCATGAGGACGAGTTAGCGGCAATGAAGGCCGATTGTGAGGCCCGGTTAGCTCGGGAGGTCGGAGGAAAGGACGGGGAGGACGAGCGAGCGAAAGAGAAGGGAAAGGCCGCGGCAGAGGAACGCACGGGACAAGACACCGGGCATGACAAGACTTGGAGGCCAACAGAATCCGAGGCCGAAGGGAGTAAAGCTAATTCGGTACACGCAGAAAGCGCGACCGAAGATAGGTGGATGGTGGTGAAGCCAGAGCCTTCATCCACATTATTACTCCCCTTCACCCAAAGTATAATGGACGTTCAAATTTCAAAACAATTCATAGCGCCGCAATTCAAAATGTACGACGGGACTACGGATCCCGAGGCCCACATCAAAACGTTCTCGAACACCATGGCATTCAGAACGGGCAACGACGCCATTTGGTGCCGGGCGTTTTCGCTATCCTTGGAGGACGAGGCGCTGGAATGGTTCAACTCTCTACCCCCCAATTCTATAGAGAATTTCGTCGGCTTGAAACGACTTTTCAACCGACAATTCGCGGCCAACAGTTCTCAAGACTTGATCGTGTTCGAATTGGTCACCCTCAAGCAAGGAAAGGAGGAAACGCTGCGAGCGTTCATGGAGCAATATCAGAAGACCGTTCGGCGAGTGAAGGCCCTAAGCCCCGAGCTCGCCCTTCATTACATCCTCCCGGCTCTCAAGTCGGGCCCGTTTAAAGACAGCGTGTGCCGACGAGCTCCCAAGACGATGGAAGAGTTGAGAGAACGTGCGGCAGACAAGATAAGGGTAGAGGAGATGAAACTATCCTACAAGAAGGAAAGCCAGGAGTTGAAGGGGGAAAGGGCGGACGGTGGGAAGCCCAACGGTTCGGCTGGAAACACGGCCGGCCAAAAACATAGGGAACCGAGACGGGGGCCTCGTTTTCAACAATATACTACCTGAACGCCCCGAGGGAGAAGATCCTCCGAGAGGCATTGAGCGCGGACTTGCTCCCCGAGCCGATGAAGCGACCGACTCCATCAGGGGCGGACGGGAGGAAACATTGTGCCTATCACAAGAATATGGGCCACACTACCGAAGAGTGTGTGACCCTCAGGGACAAGATAGAAGAGTTGATCCGAGCGGGGAAGCTCAAGAAATACATCCGGGACGATCGTCCTCAGGCACCTGCGGAGCGGGCGATCCAGCGGTCGGTGTATTGGCTCGATAGACCCAGGAATGCTAGGGTCGAACGGCCCCGCTCCGAGCGGAGACGCAGCCGAAGCCGCAGCCGGAGTCGCGAACGTCCCCTTCGGGGACACATCAACACCATCTCGGGAGGTTTCGCTGGGGGGGTCGTCATCGTCCGCCCGAAAGCGCCACGTGCGGGCCTTGCAGTCCGTACATTTGGTTAACAAGCCACGGCGCACAATGCCGCCCGTCACCTTCTCGGACGACGACTTCCACGCACCAGACCCCGATCAAGATGACCCGATGGTTATAACGGCCGAGATCACCCGCTACGGTGTCAGCAAGGTTTTGGTGGACCAGGGGAGTTCGGTGAATATCCTCTACTGGAAACCTTTCCAGCAGATGGACATCTCGGAAGATCTCATAGTCCCCTACAATGGACAAATCGTAGGCTTTGCGGGAGAAAGGGTGGACAGCCGGGGTTACGTGGAGTTAAGGACGAGGCTGGGGACCGGGCGATCCAGCGAGGAGAAGAGGGTCCAATACCTGCTGGTCGAGGCCAACACTTCTTACAACGTGTTGCTTGGCCGGCCGTGTCTGAACGCCTTCGGGGCGATCGTATCCACGCCCCATCTCACGATGAAGTACCCTTCCGAGAAAGGAACTATATGCACTGTCCGGGCTGACCAAAAGATCGCCCGGGAATGCTATGCCGCCGGCTTAAAACTGCACACCCGACAGGTGAAAAGGAGGGCGACCGGTTCCGAGGTCGCTATGGCCGACCTCGACCCGAGAACGAACACTGAAGACCGACAAGAGCCGATGGGTGAAATCCAACCCATTCTAATAGGAAAGAACCCCTCCCAGACGACTACCATGGCCCGGGGGTTGGAGCCTGGGGTGGAGGAGGGAGTTAGATCGCTCCTGTGGAAGAATAGGGACTTGTTCGCATGGACGATGGCCCACATGCCGGGGATCCACCCCACGGTCATGTGCCATAAACTGTCGCTGTTTAAGGAGGCCCGTCCGGTAGCCCAGAAGAAGCGACGGATGGGCGAGGAGAAGCAGAAGGCCGTCGAAGAGGAGATGAGAAAGTTGAAGGACGCAGGCTTTGTCCGAGTGGTCGAAGCGTTAGGAAACGGGGCATACAGGCTACAATGGTTGGACGGATGTCCGATACCCAACACTTCGAACGCCACACACTTAAAATTTTATTTCAATTGAATTCTGCTTCAATGCGCTATCCAACTTGTACTTTTGTTTCCAATGATTAATGACAGGACGTCCGCCTTAACTCCCAATATAGCCTCAATAAAGCATGCTGGAAATCCAAGATCATGAAGCCGGACGGTGAACGGAGAGTTCTTTCCGAAGAACCACTATCGTCCGCGCTCCGAAAGTCCAAGTTGATGAACGGAGAGTTCCCCCGGGAACCACTATCAACTTGGCCGGACGGTGAACGGGGAGTTCTTTCCGAAGAACCACTACCGTCCGCGCCCCAAACGTCCAAGTTGATGAATGGAGAGTTCCCCCAGGAACCACTATCAACTTGGCCGGACGGTGAACGCGGAGTTCTTTCCGAAGAACCGCTGTCGTCCGCGCCCCAAACGTCTAAGTTGATGAACAAAGAGTTCCCCCGGGAACCAATGTCAACTTCGACGGGCGATAAATTGAAGAGTTACCGAAAAAGTCTAAGGGTTTATCTCCGAACAATCAATACGTAAAACAAAGATGCGTAATAAGCATATCATTGAATTCAAAAGAAGCAAAGTAAAAGTTGTGTATTAATCAGCAAAGGCACCAAAACGTGCCGGCATTTACAAAAGGACGGCCCGACCAACACCTTGACATCCCAAGATGTTGGGCGGGCGGCCACAACAATACACAACCAAAAAATCAGTATAAAAGTACAAACTTTAATTATTTCTTCCATCTTCTTTCCCTTCTTCAGCTTCTGCCTCCCCCACCTCAACATTCCGCACAATCCCCGGCTCCTCGTCTTCGACCAGAGAGTTAAGATCCACGAGGACGCCATCGAAAACGTCCTTCTCAATGTCGAAGCCTAGGGCGAACGGTTCTTGTACACCGGCCAGAAGGGACGCTTGACGGAGAGCTTTATTAAAACTCTCCTCGTGCTCAAAAACGACCGTAGCCTCGTGCTCGGCGATCTTCTCCGTGGCCTTGGTTAGATCACGAGTCAAAGCCTGGTTCGCCTTCAGGAGCCCGACCTCAGAGCTCTTTTGCCGGGAGACCTTGATCTTCAGCTGACTGCACTCTTCCTGCAGCCGCTCATTATGCCCTCGAACAGTCGCCAATTTATCGTCGGCGTCGGCAACTTTCTTATTAGACTTCTCGAGGTCGGCCTCCAGCTGCTCGATCCTCTTGTCGTACTCATCTTGATTCAAGATCAGCTGCTCCATAGTTGATTGAAGGTTGGCCGAATTCTTCTTCTCAGCTAAGAGTTCGGCACGGATGTCCTCCACCCCTGGACGGCCAGCAAACTCTTTCAGATACCACGCAAGGGAAGCCGCCCGGGTTGACATTTCCAGCATGGCATTGGTAAGCTCCAACTCCGAGAGCGGCTCGATAAGAGCTCGCTGAGAGGAGCTCATATGAAACTTCGTCCGGTCGCTCATGCTAAACTCCGGACTGAATATCCCGCCCGGCAGAGGAACCTAGGGGGCCTTTTTCTTCTCTTTTTCTTTGCCCTTGCGGGCCTTCTTGGAAGCCGATCTGGAGGACGAGGCCTCCTTCTCTTTGTGACCATGGTCGGAGGGAGCATTCCTCTTCCGTGTCAACGGAGCAACAGAGACGGTGGCCGCCTCAGATGACGGATCCACGTGAACGACCACAAGGTTGGCGGGGAGGTTCGGACCCGGCGCCCGGTTCCCAGGGGAAGAACCCTCGGCCCCTCCAGCAGGGGAGACTTGTTGAGGATGCGCGAAAGGCACCGGGTTCAGGCAGCCGGACGAGGACGATCTTCTCGAAGGCGGGGGGCGGGGAGCGGCCGACGTAACCCTCGGTATACCCGAGGACGAACTCGCTCCTCCTTGTTTCCTTGCGGCCATGAAGCTGGATTGATGGGGCGCAGGAGTCGTCATGAGATCTGAAAGAAACAGAACAATTCAGAAACGTTAAGACCAGCGTACTAAATACAAAGCAACCCAATATAATAATACCATACCGAACGCCTTTTGTCCATAGTCCTCAAGACCAAGGCATTCGACCAAGTGACGGGCGGAAATCCGGCGGGGGAGGGCATTGATAGTACGCACGGCTTCTAAGTCAGCCGGACGCAACATTCCCGCAGGAAACGCCCTTATTCTTCGGGGCTCCCTCGTCTAGTAAAAAGGAAACAAGGGGTTCCCCTCGCTATCGTGGAACTCTTGGTGGTCGGCGGCATCGATAATGATTTTAAAATAATGATGCTTGAAGTTTTTGAACGAATCTGAGAAAGGGCGGAAGAGAGCCCTATCCCGGACCGAAGTAAAGGACACCCAGCCGCCATTGGGAGGCGGACGGACTTCGAAGTAATGAAAAAATATCGGGATTGTCGGGGCAACGCCCACAGCCAAGCACATAGCCAAAAACGCCTGCACGGCCGCCCATGAGTTCGGGTGCAGTTGAGCCGGGGCCACGTTGGCTTCCCGAAGGACGGCCATTTGGAAATTTGTGAAGGGAACCCGAACGGAATGCTGACTGAAGACGTTGACGTACATGAAGAAGAAGTCGTCCGGGCTTGACCTCTTCCCGTAGTGAACCCTTTCGTTTCTCAAACTAACCCCCGCCCGGATATGTCTCGAGTCCTCTACATCTCGGACAATATGGGTGCGGCTGACCCTCCACTCCAGATCCCGGCGGGCGCCATAAGCTGACGCATATAAGCTAGCAACGTAGGGAGCCTAATCAGACACTATTGTTCCCTGACCGTCCGGCTCGAAGGGAGAACCTTCTACACGGACACCACCCTTCAATAAGAAGAGGGGGACGCCGTGGAATATCCGGTCACCCGTTGTGGCCGGCTCTTCCGGACCCGGCACTGAAGACCGGACATCTTCCTCCAGAAAATGAGAGGAGACTGAACTTGAAGAATCGCAGCTCGCGCCCTCACCCCTCGCCGAACCCCTTTGGACTCCGCCCGACGACTCAGAAGTAGAATCAATATGGACAACGGTCATTTATTACTTGAGGAAAAAAGAATTTCAAAGCTTTAGCGAAAACGGAGGAAGTGAAAATGACAACCCTCCTACCCCCTATTTATAGAAAAATTTCAGTGACCGTCAAACGCATCCGCACCGTTAATCACCAACACGATCAACGTTTCAGATTCAACGCTGTTTCAACTCCCGCCACTACAGAGAGACCACGTGTTTCCCGCCAACAGTCCAAATCTTAAAGCCCATGAAATCCGGCCCAACACGAGCCCGTTAGCTCCCATCGCATCAGACTCTAAGTCCTACGTATATTGCGTATACTAGGGCTCGGGGGCTTGTGTACCAGTAGGGACCGAACGTCTACGTGACGCCAAGTAGGGACCGGACGTCTACGTGACCCTTGTGTACCAGTAGGGCCGGACGCCAAGTAGGGACCGGACGTCTACGTGACGCCAAGTAGGGATCGGACGTCTACGTGACCAAACACGCGGATCTGTTGCCATCGAAGGGTAGAGGCACCAAACTGGACGCCTGTACGTGGACCAGACGCCAAGTAGTGACCGGACGTCTACGCAACCAAATACGCGGTTCTGTTACCATCGAAGGATAGAGGCTTCA